TACTAACTATGCATTTGAGTGAATTGTGACCCACGCACTGTCTGTACTCTTGCCCCTGTGCATGGGGCGGCGTACACTACCAATGGGCATTGCTGTTCTCTATGTATGACTTTATACAAGCTGCCTTTGCCTTTGGCTGAACTTTTGTACATTATAAATGACTTATTTTCATTGAATGTCATGTTACTAAACCACAGAACCTGCTTCCATGTTTATTTATTTTGTAAATATTCTCTTGATAAAATATTGATAAAATTGCATCGTGTCGTTTCTTAATTTCAAACAATGCTCGCTATATCTTGATGCATGCTCAATTATCCAGGTAAGGAAATCCCACTGAAACGCTACGTTCATAAGGACAGGATCCACTTTTTGGGAATGCTCACTATAGTGACAATAAGCACCAGCACTTCTACCTCAAACAGCATCACTGAGAAATATATGCGCTAGGATTTTCAGTCAGTGGTTTGCAACAAAAATACAAAATGTAAGTAAAATGTACAAAATACTATAGATAGATGGCCTAAACACCCATATCCCCTTTATTTAATATCTTGCTATGCTTCAGGAGTCTGTGTCTGACAATTTTGTCAAAAATATGCACATAAATAAGCTGCTGGACTCTGGCAGTGCTCATCCTGTTCCACCTCACACAAATGAAAACATACCCATCCTACTACTGAATTGATGCCTGTATGGATGTGCCATCCTGGAGAAGCTGCAGCTGTGCAGCTTGAATTGGCTGGAGGAGAACAAACAAACTGCAACTGTAGAGAAAAATCAGTCAGCCGGGATACGGAGGGAGGAATGGGCTGCATTTCTCTCTCCACTGCCTGCAAACTGTTCCCTTTTTGGGGGAGGACTACTTGTTACCTCTCCAGCATATGTGCTGTCATTTTCAACAACAGGGGGGGATTTAGGTTTGTTTTGTGGCTACAGGACCTGGGCACCTTCCAGTCATTGAGTCAACCATGAATTTGTCGGTATGCCAAAGAACTTGTCAAATATGAGCTTAAGCTGTCTGTCTGACACCTAAAGCTTGGATAGAACAGTCATACAACAGGACAATGATCACAGCACATCAGCAAATCTACAACAGATCATCTGAACGAGAAATGAATCAGCATGTTGCAGTGGTCCAGCCAATTCCAGACCTCAGCCTGAATAATGAGCTTGTAAACCTGAATGAACTGAAGCAACACCGTAAAGAAGAATGGACAAAAAAATCCTCCACAACTAGAGAGTCTGATTAAGTCATACAGAGTACAATTACTTCAAGTTAGTGTTGCCAGAGGTGGTTAAATCATGGGATTTTCCACACTGCCTCTGGTGTAATATGTCATGTGTTGCTGTTCATCCGAGTTTGCATTTTCATTATTTTTAAGGATCTTAAGGACCAAATTATTTTTTTATTTTATGTCCTGATACGTAAAACCTCTAGACTGAAAGAGAATTTGCTGTTTTTCCCCATTTGACTGTACACAAGAGAATGATAATTCGAGTGTTTGCTTGTGTTTGCCAGGCTCTGTGAAATGTGGCTCTGTGAATAGTGACTGGTTGGAGTCTTGGCCAGTCTTCCCTTTCATTGCTGGCTGATGGTCAGTAAAACTCTATGGGCTTCCAGAAACACACAAAGCATAATTTAAAGTCAATTTCACAATAGTGAAATTACTTATTAAAACAAGTCTCTGCCACATGTCAGCTACACACCCTCCAGCTCATTTAGGTGATCCAGATGTAAGCTGTGGATCCCCCCCCCCAAAAAAATCCAACCTTTGGCCCTTAAAAGAAATACAGCTGGCTCTGTGACAGGAAAACAAGAGATTAGATCGACAGTTCAAAAAACTAAGATAAAAGCCTTTTCATGTGTTCGTCATTTTAATAGTTGTTGCCGTTAAACAAAAACCGATGCAGGTAATTGACAAAATAGCTTCATCAACATGCCGATCCTGTTAAATTCTATTAATGTAATAAATGACTGCACACTCAAAAAGACAAAAGGATATCTGTAATTTATTGGTGTCTTACAAACATATGGAAAAACCAGCCATGCTTGTCTGAACACCGTTAAACACAAAAAGCTGCTCCCCATCCATCTCGCCTCAGCCTTTCAAAAGCAACACAAACCTCTGTCAAACATCTGTAAAACATTTGTTCTCTCTCAGATAAGATTTCCTCACTCAGCTCTGTGCCTCCAGCCCGAGTGTGTAAAACGCCACAGTCTGGCCAGCGCTCAGAAGCTGTGCTGCACCAAAACAGGCTCCCTGCATTGGATTTAAGGTGTTTTTTCCAGGTATGATGGATGCTAGAGGACTTTGGATGGTGCTCTGCCTTCTCTTGTTGGCACACGGCTCACTCCAGCAGAACTCGAAGAAAAGAAATGGCAAAAAAGGTAGGACTTCATATTCACCAGCTGAATATAAAATCAGTGGCTTCTACAGGACAGTATTGTTAGAGTTCACCTTCTTTTTTTGTTTTTGTGCAGAATCTGCCATCAACTCTGCAATCGAGAATCTGCAGAGGCAAGTTGATGAGATTACTCAGGATCTGACCGTGCTGAAAGAGCAGCAAGCTTTACAAACAGGTGTAGACTTCTTCACAAACACCATGCAGTTAGGTTTTTTGTAAAGAATGCCCCAAAGTTGCACAATCCACTCAAGTGTTTGCTTCAGTTTGCAGGCTGCATGTCATTTTCTAGTTAAACAGCTTTCTAGA